GTGAGATTTTCCTACCGGTAATAAGTAAAATTTTCGCAAAACTCCTTTGATAATACGAGAAATTTGTGTCAGCAGAGCGAATTTTCCCATATGACCTCACCGTTTGATTCTCATCGATATTGACGACGAAAAATTTGTGTGCAGTTCGTCGGAACTTTCTCATGTAAATCATTGAGCATCCTTAACGTGTGATTTTCGATGAAATTCTGTTGTCATTGAACGCATTTCATAGTTCATTCAGGGCTGTGCTCATCGTGTGAATATCTTTATTCTGTTTCACGTGTAAATACAACGCAATATACAATACAGTCTTTCATTGAACATTTCATCATTTCATTTCATATCACACAAATAAGCTTGAAAAATGATCATTCGAAACGGTAACAGAATGAGAACAACGCAATATTGTGCCGCACCTGCACAACACATATACACTTTTACATCCAGATTTCACTTAATTCCTCTATTCGTGGCATATCTCAACAAATCGAACGATTTATTCGTCCATTTTTGTTTTTCCTTGTCAAAATTAGCGATTGTTAATCAACAAATAAATAATCCATCGTCGTGTGGAACAACATTAATTGACGCATTTTCCTTTAATAGTTCACGGTTCCACTATGACAATAACGTTTTGGTAGTGAGTGAACGACTCTAATATATTGAGAGCGATAAAACTTGCATCGCTTTTTTACTGATTCTTTTGCAAAAGTTCGTTGATTCTAATTAAGAAATGATGCTGGTTTGGGTTCTCGAATGAATATTTACTTTATAATTTCAGTCGAACACACTTCAGGATGGAATTCAACGTGGAAATATGTATACCCTAATTGAATCCATTGGTGTTTTTGTATAAATGCGATTTGGAAATGCGTTTCCATGCACATCTCAACTTGTAAATGCTTTGTTTTACGATGTATGCTTGTTTTTGTGCCTTGAGGAAGTACACAGCAAGTGAAAATCATCAGATGCATCAAATATATCAAAAGTAACGAATTCTATTCTAAAACGAAAAAAATCCATTGTTGACCACAATAATGCGCACAGAGATCAATGGCGGAGACTAGTGAGAAAGGCATTCCACATAAACCAAGACACAGCAGTATCAGGGACGACTCGAAAAAATTATTTGTTATCACGAGCGTTGAACGCTCACAGAAATAAATTCGAAACGGCATTGAGCACGACGAGCGCATTNGCCGAATGGTCCAATATCATAATCGTACTCAAAATACCCATAACACAATATGGCATCCAAAAGATCATATTTAGAGTCAACATCAAAAATGCCTGCAATAAATCCAATGAAAATTTCATGTGAGCACATACACTCAACAACAATGATCTTGAATTGGGTCATTTCTGTTCCTCACACTATCCGAACCTTTTTCAAATAAGCAATTTGAATTAGAATGTGAATGTGACGGTAAATCGCACGGCTTTCGAGGATTTGAATTAGAAGTACGGTGAATGGACCTCCGCCGGGCGCTAAATCCTTTAAAGTTCAAAATTCAAGAAGGACAGATGTTTCGAGATTCCGAAAGATGCCTTACGATGTGACAAAGCTGAAATCCTTTTCAGGAAGCGTCATTGATGAATAACGTAATCGACTTTACAACAAGCATTGTCCAGAAGTGGCTAATTATTTTACTTCCTATAGTTGCTCAAACAAAACCTCTATCGTTCCCTTGATATAAGCAGATTTCGAAATTTAGAGAGTTTCGAAGCTGTCGAAACTCTCCAGCAATTGAATTTTGATGACTGATTCTCCAAAATATGCACCACTTACCTTCCGACGTGTTTTACGACGTGCCAACGCCACCGTGTTCCTCCAGGCAGCAACAGATTTTTTATTGTTATTGATTGTGATAACACTAGTTTTAGGCGGATTCAAATGTTCAATACCGCCTCGTTGCATGTCAGAAGCGCTGCCGTGAATAGACAGCAATGATGAATGAGCATCAGTTTCTAAATAAGATGTGGCTCTTTCTGAAAAGAACACCATCAATGAGATGTTTCATGATATTAGCTCCACTTGGATGAGGAGATGCCTACGGTAGTCCGATTTTTGGTGTTGAGAAGGTAAGGCGAACCACTACATCTGAGAGGATTTTGGTCATGAAATATATGTTTTAAGTAATTTCCGACATATTTCCCTCTCGGTTGCAGTTGATTAAGCATATTCTTGTGGACTTCAGAGATTTTCACTCTAATCCAACCGCGATTCGCGCAAAAGCTTTTTCAACTGAACAGTTAATACTCGACAAAAGTCACGAAGCTACGTTTCGCCGGAAGAGCGGGCTGAGTTTCGAGCTTATGCAGTGGATCAGAACTGGCTTGCAGGCTAGTTAGACTCAGCCGACAATCCATGAGATGGCGGATGAGATTCCAATCGAAAATTCATTGCAGTGATGCTTGCTCTACTGGGGCCCATTACTATTATCACACGAGGAAGGAAAAATCCTCTGTAGTGTTGATCGATCTCTCTTCCGCTTTCGGTTTACTTTCGACGATAAAAAAGTGCGCATCTTATTGTTGTATGCAATTGTAAGCAATTTCCATTCGTTAAAAATGATTTCTGCTAACTAACCCCTGGCTTGTTTTGGTTGACCATTGTAATCAGTGGCTAGTTCTGTGCTGCATGTGTTCAGTGTCGGCGATTGCGCATCACTTCCATTACTTCGGGCACACCATCTTAATAACATCCGCCATCTACAATTAAATCAAGTGAATACAAAATGTTTAGCAATGAATCTTTGATGTTAATATCTCATCAATACATTTCTCTTCATCATTAACAAATGAATGTTCTTGTCAAGGCATTATTTTATCTGTAATCATTTCCGTGGGTTACATTTCCGTTAGCGATTGTATCTGTGGTAACAACACCAATACATTCATAGATCACATTTTAGTGATCCCTCTAACCTAGTATTCAAACTCACATTTTGAAGGCACCATCAGGGCTATTCACAATTCAACATGAAATGTTGCGTGAATAATTTTGCTGTTCAACTTCCAAGAGGTTCTAGAATATGTGGCACCAGAACTTCGAAATTGCTACAGTTGAAAACTAAGGTTGTTGTCGGTCATTTTACTGGAACGCTCGGAGAAAGGCAGTTGCCGGAAGGCAAGTATCTTGACACATGTTCACAGCAAAGAAACAAATAAGACTTCACTAGTCCAATTGAAGTTGAAATTCTAAAAGTGCTAGGTTCTAAGAATAGGCCAGATAGGTTTGGGGATATTGAAGAACAAACGGTCAGAACAATGAACATTCATTACCTTTTCCGTGGTTTTTCCGATTTTGGCATATCGTTGTCAACACGTTTCATGAGAACCAGTATAAGCGCATAGCAGAAAAGCTCAATCGAGTATGGCAAAATGCAAATCGAGAGCAGATGAAGTAAATTATATGCTGAAAAAAAAA